TCAGGAGCAGAGGAGAGCAGGAGGGTGAGCTGACTCCTCCTCTGAGCTCCGAACACACATAAAAAAGTAAGTGTCTGAGGGTGGGGCGCTAGAGCTGATTGTACTGCCTTTGTGCAGAGTCAGTCTGAGTCCACACCCAGAGAGAAGGAACCACAGAGCGGGGAGCGCGCTCTGTGCAGTGGCAGTAGCTGTGCAGGAGGCTGAGGGGGCCCAGGACCCTCTCTCATGGGGAGAAGGTGGCCATCTCCAGGGAGATGCGTTGCCACAGCTCCTTGGTCTGCTTGCCTCTCTTCAGGTTCTGCAGCACATCGTTGAACTGCATCATGCCCACAGGTGTCAGGCAGAACGCACTACGAGCGCTGCGGATGATGTTCACAAAGTCATCGTAGTCTGCAGGCGTCAGGTGGATGAGCCGATGGTGGATGTACTGCAGAGAGAGGCAGGGACAGGTTCTCATTCGTTCTAATGAGAGCATACATGTATAAAGAGAACAGGATACAGCATCGAGGCGGGACCCAGCCCTGACCAGCATCTCGTCACAGCCGTAAGGACTAATGTGAGCTGACTTCTTAAATCCACATATTATCTACAATCAGTGTTACAAACTTTAAATTATGACATGCATGCAACATTTACTTTTTCATACGTTAATGTGTCCCCTCTGTGTAAAGAGCCTAAGAACGTTTGAGGAAAAAAGATTCTCTCTTTTTTTCCTGATCCACCTATATTAAAACCTGTCTGAAAATGAGCGGATCAGATTTTGGCCACTTTTTAAATGTTTTTCTGGGTTTTGCAACCATCAGCCACTCACCAACCACCGTAAGCATCATTGTGCGCACAGAAGGGGCGCGGGGAGTGGCAGCTCATTAGCATTTAAAGCTACAAACACAGAATCAGCCCTTTTGAAACAGGGCTGAAACAGAAGGGTTTATGGGATGCTGCAATGATCTGTTTGGTGTTTCAGCCAAACGCTTCAGAGACATGTTTTGTATATCTGAGACCTATGATATACTGTTGGAAAAGAGCATAATAGGGGACCACCATCATGAAGTTAATACTCCAGTTGAATATGAGTTACAGGGAGGATCCCTCAGTCACTGCTAATAGATCTAGGGCTAACAGTTTTTGTTTTTAGGGCTGACAATGTCAACGCGTTAACTTTGCGATTTATCTGGAAACCTTAATGCATTAACGCAGTGAAAAGGCAAAGAAAGTGAAAGTACTTTCACAAGCTACATGCAATGCACTGACTAGAAACCACTGGACATCAGAAGCATCACTACACGCTGTAACAGAGGCGCAATACTGAAGCATGTGCTAGATGCCTTCTGCTCGCAATATGATGGCTCTGCAACAAGTACCAAGAGCACAGGTGTAGCTCACATTATACAGAGAGGAATCACAGCGGCCCTCTGTGACAGCAGTGTTGTCCATGCTTAAGCATTGTGTCGGGAAATTGTGGGATTCATGCCAATAATTTAGTTATATTAAAGTAAAAAACCCTCTGATTTAAATCACCAGGTAGTTTTGCATGTCTTTATTACAACACCCCACATGTATTTGTTTATGTTCCCCTAAATTAGAAGTTAATACTAGTACTTTAAACTTGTGATTATTCATTATTACTCAAAGAATATCAATGTGATAAACACAATTCACAAACTTGTGAACTGATTCAACTTGTGAATACATGAAATACAATGAAAGTGTGTCTCTTCATGTCTTCTGTCACACACACCAGTAATCCAGGACACATGGGAGGAGTAGGTTCTGGACAGCCAGTTTGGTGAAACAAAGTTGTGGAGGCCAAGAGCATACAGGCCAATCTCAAAGGCACACAGGTGCAGGTTTCTGTGGGGCCCCTGGTGGCCCCCGCTCACACACCCGTCGTTTTTCCATCAGGAGTCAGGCAAGGCAGGAACGTCCTCTAGTAGTACCTCCGAGTACGTCTCCTGGGGTTGAGGCGGCGGGTGTAGGGTGCGTGTGGAGGCTTGGGGGCGGAAGGTGGGTCGACCACGCGTCGCGGACGGCGGTGTCCCGGATTGGACGTTCCATGCGCGTAGTCGTTTGTAACTTTTTTATTATGTGATTTACCAAAATAGCGATTCGGTTTATAAGCAAAGTCGTAGAGTGAATTTTATACGCCAGATCTTACAACTACATCTATCTTTTCGTTGTTTGAGTACATTAGACTACTTAGTAAAAAGCCTCTAAAATTAAGACGGAGGTTTAAGACTGTAAGTGTGAATTTAAACTCTTACGGGGAGTTATCTCCGAAACTGTAATTTTTAATTTTATTAATGTACCACAGTTAAGTGTTTTACTTTAACAACAAATAGGTGTTATTATAAAAACCTCATTAGG